CGCCCGTCGCCGCCGCCGCCCGCCCACTGTCGCTATATAAATGGTCAAACTAGTTTGACCAAAATGATGTTTTCAAAACACATTTGAAAAAGAAACACCATGGCATGGTGTTTTTTACAAAAATACAATAAAAAACACATTGATTACCAAACACACCCTTAGATGTTATATTTAATGTTTAGGACTTTCCTCCATTTTATATTTCCCTTCCTTAAAGAGTTTTCCTTTCATAGATATTCTACAAGGTGTATTAAGCATGAGTCCCCTTTCTTCATAATTAATTAGAAGATAGAAAATATCATTTCTTTATTTGAACATGGCATCAGAGCAAACTTATAAATTCCTGGAGGCTTATTTCTTAATCTTGAGGACATCAAGGGAGATCTTCTGCAAGCACAATCTTGTGCTTCTCCTTGCGGCTTCGACCTTACTTTTGGCTATATTTTCACTCGCAACATCGATATCTGGACGATTCCTTTTCATCTTTTTCAAATTTGTCGGCTACAATCTTGGCTTTGACATCACTAACAATTTCATATTCAACTTGTTCAAATCGTCGATTTCGTCATCTTTACTCTTTATTCATCCATCACAACTCTTTGGGACCGAAGTTCCAAAAATGAAAAATAAAAATACCCAAAAGCCTCTCTCCGCTTCTAGTCATGAAGCAACAACAATTCAAGGATTAACATTTAATCCAATTGAAGACTAACACCATCAACACATACAATAAGTTGATCCATCTTGTATTGCTCGCTTGATTTCTTTCAAGATTGCTTAGTTATGATCCCTTCCCTTCTTGGTCTTTGAGAGAGTGACTGCATTTGGGCGTGAGCATCTTGCTTTGATTAGCTTCTTGCGACTAAGATTTTCCTTTCTTGATTGAGAATAATACTTGATTGCTTATGAGCTTTATAAAAATCCATCCTTTATGTTCAAGGAGATCACACTTTTCATAGGCAACTTCAATCTCTCTTTCCAACATCATAGAGATGTCATATTATCAACTTCATGTTGTTTTATATAGCAATGACCATGCAATCATCTATCAGAGCTTCAGATCTCATTGCGGTATCAACTCATTGATCAACCCTTCTTGTTCGCCATTATCTATCTGAGCTTCAACATCTTGTCTTTAGCAAATTTTAGTGTCTGATCGGTTTCCTCGGATCTTGATTTTTTTTCTTAGATCATCTCCACTTTTGTTTTCATGTCACTTGAGTAGCTTCTCTCTCAAAGTACTTTCCTTTACAACCTTCCTATTGATCATTGATATGAACGGGATACTACGATAGGCAAATTATTCAATTCTTTTAGAAGCTAGACTTTGGTAATCTCTTCGTTCTAGCTTGAGGAGCGTCATATTCATTACCTTTAATACAAATGTCGAGATTAAATATATAACTTAAATATAACATCCTACTATTTAGGAATTCCTTTCTTTTATATTTCTTTTTTTATTAGTTTTCCTTTCAAAGGTATTCTATAAGGTGTGGGTTATTACCCTCTTCTTCATAATCAATGAGAACATAGAAATTTTTCTCTTCTTTTATATGCAGCATGCAAAGTCCTCCAAAAGTAGAACTCAAAAGACACTATGAGATAAGACAATTATGTAGACATAATGAGATAAGACTACATGTACAATATAGGCATGCGAGTGTCTACAGAAATCACTTACCAAAAGCCAATTTATTCTGATCTAATTAAATCTAACAAAAATACAGACAAATATGACCTACTATGAACCTATGTGTACTCTTCACATGTCCGGAATATATTAAGTGTCTCTTAAAGTAGTATCTTAAGTATGACGAAGGCCCTTTGTTCTGTTTGTTTAGGTGACATATGCCTCCATAATGCCTGACATGCAATCTTCAGTATTTTCTTTTTTAAGGCGAACAAGGCCCTGCCACACAATCTTTTAGATTTTTCTTCAGACTACAAGGTCTTGCATGTATGACACATGTTGTATTGTACAAGCTTTTAGTACAATATGCCTAGACACATGTTGTACAGGGACACACGATTCCTAACTCAGATTCAGTAATAAAAACATTGCATATGACGTATAAATAGGTCAGTTATTCTACATAATTCATAGCCTGCAGAAATTCATTGTTAGTATAAATTGTCCGGGAATGAGGTTCACATGAAAAATAAAATCTTCAATAGTTCATCCACAAAACTAAAATTCCCACTTTAGCAATGGCTAGCTTACCTAAAATAGGAAACAAAAATATATGAATTTCTCCAACATAATGGATCTAAGTGCTATGAAACAAAGATTCTTTGAAGGTTCTCTTCAAAAAGTTTTCAATGAAACTAAGTAGTGGAAAATTCTTTACATCTAAAACTTAAGTGTTTGTTGTGCTTAAGGTCCCTTACAGCTCCACACAAAAATTAACCATTTTCCTGAGTTACCCAACTGAGAGATGAGTATAGTCAGAACAAATTAAAAATATAAAAATGATAAAGGAACGTACATCATGCAGAGTAGGACATAGTCGTGTAGCTTCATCATACTTTTTGCAAGCCTCCTCAAGTAAAGCATCTTTCGAAGGCACACCAGAATCTGCATTAACATTATCTGCACTTTCCTGTACCAATAAAACATGAAATATTATAAATGAATATTAACTGCGCTTGCGAAATTACATAAAAACCAAAGCTCACTACTAATGGGTGATAACTAATGTTTAATATCGAGATCTCTAGCTGTAAAAGTAGAACTGAATGATACTAATTCTGACATTTTGTATTAATAATATAGAATATTTATATTAATAAAATAGAATATTATTGATAACAAGCATATTTTGTTGATTAAGATTGAGGTATAAGTAGCCATAATATAGTATTATGACATAAAATAGTCACAAAACCCTAATTCCCTTTAGTTAGCAAAGGGTTTCTTTTACAATTAAATGGTATCATCTCAGTAAAATATCAAACTTGAAGTTGAAATGTAGCATTCCTAGTATTTAGTATTCTGTTCTAAACATGAACTACTTAGCCAAAATAAGATAGAACAAATGAAACAAACCATCATGGGATATCACCATTTTGCAATTACAAGGTTAAGTAAGACGAGGAAAAGGTCACGGATAATTCAGCAAGATGAAGAACATAAAAAAGCAATCATACCCAAACATTAGGACTTAAAAACTCAAACAGAAATAGTTGGATATAATCATGATAGCAAATACATAAATAGCACCGTGAGATGAAGGATCTGAATCTAGGTTGCATGGGTAGGCTAAGAATGCGGGTACGGGACACAGCAAAGTCGTAAAAGATAGGGTACGGGGGCATAGCTATACACACACATACATACATATATGTAAAATATATATACATGTATATACATATATGTACATATGTAGATACATATATGAATATATACATACGAATACATATATGTATATACATATACATATATATGTATAGACATATGTGTGTGTATGGGAAAAGTGTTCTTAAGGTGACACATGTCACCTTAGATTCAATCAAAAGAAGCATCTCTTGATGCATGAAATAGATTATTCTAATCGACAATCTGCTCCATTCTCATGATTTAAATGTCTCAAAACATCTATAAAACAAAAAACATGATGTTTCAGTACTTCAAACACAGACTTTTCATTCTCTTTAGTGTGTTATTGTATAATTCAAAACATTTGATGGCTATATGCCTATTTATATATCATATATATATTATATTATTAATACTATATATTATATATATATATATTAGTATATATATATATATATATATATATGAAAAATATGGTATGCTTGATGTACAAGCAAAATTTTGGCTTTGAGTTAGGTGATGTTGTATCCCATCATTCAATTATAACCATAGTGAATGTGGTCAATGTTGAATGAGTGGGGGAAATTTTACACCTTCACTACCAGCAACTTTGAATGGTACAAGCAATCCCTATGTCTCGCTCTACTTCTCTCTCTCTTCTTATATATACCATAGTAAATATATATATATATATATATATTATACTATTATATATGGGCATGATGTTGTGTTGTTTGTGCGTGTGATGTATGTACGTGTGTGTGTGTATATACATATTATATATGAATATGTATGTGTATATGTATATGTATGTGTGTGTGTGTACGTATTACATATGTATCAAGTGGTCACAAAAATTAACGGGCATCTAACAATACAACAAAAAAGAACTCTTGATGCATGGGTTAAACTATTCCAAAGGAAGATCCATTCTTTTCATCATGATCTAAATATCTTGCAACATCAGTAAACCAAAACCAAAACATATAGATAGAATGAACTGAATGGATCAAGAAAATTGATTGTATGACCAAGCTAGTTATGCCCTAAGAACAAATAAGCCCCCCCCCCTAAAAAAATAAAAAAACCCAACCCCTAACACACATATGGAAAAAGTGGGTATGAGGTGACGGTTAATTTAACAAAATGAGCTACTAAGAGAGAGTTACGTGATGAGGCCAGCCTTTGAACCTCACCTACCACCTCTTGGTAGTTCATTTTGCTAGACAAGTCGCCACCTCATAATCATCAAACCTTCTGTGCGCGTATGGAAAAATGTTACTAGGAAGGCACCTTAAACTCAATCTACGAATGCACCTCATGATGCATGGATTAGACTAACATAATGGATAATCCACTCCATTCATCATGATTAAATTATCTCAAAACATCTTTAAAACAAAAAACATGTTTCAATACTTGTAACCAAGGTTTTAAATATCAGATATCGAGAAAATATCGGATAACCAAAATTTATATCGGATTGCGGATATCGGAGAAATATCGGGGATATATGGTAAATATCGGAATGTCACATGGATATTTGCATATATAGTATAATGCACTAAAATGTAATCCGAACATACTTAATGAAATCTAAGCATATCAAATGTAAATAATATATGTTTAGGATCACTATTCAACCTTGTAAAACAAACAAAAGTACAAGTCAACGGTGCAACATTTAATTTGGTTTATTAGGGAAAAATGTCATTTGATATAATAGGAAAAAATCATAATATCTCGCCCAAAAATTGCTAATCACGGTATGTTATTTTGTGACAAGCCATATAAAAAGATATATCGGTCCACATATCGGCCGATATATCGACCATATCGGGAGTATATCGCCCAAAATAGCCAAAGAGCGGTGAAGAATATTTAGAGATCATATTGGTTGCGGCAAACCCTGTAAAAGGATATATCGGAGGATTTATCGGGCCATGTCGGGGATATTTAAAACAATGCTTGTAACACATATTTTTCATTCACTTTAGTAGTATTGTCGTAAAACCATTAATGTCACAATCACTTGATATATGAGTAACTATAATCCAATATGTCTAATTTGTTGTTTATATACCATCCAAAATATATAGATCGAACAGATTAGATATAATAAATTGATTACAAATAACGGTTTTGAAAGTATACCCTTAGATTGAATTTAAGGTGCCCCTTAGTAACATGGTTCCACGTATGTATGTATGTATGCATATGCTGGTTATTGAACATATATCGGACGGCTAAAAATCATATTGATTTGCGGTTATCGAGGATATATCGAGAAAAGTAGTAAAAATCAAATTGTCATGTTGGAATGGTGCGCATATATTATATATTATCCTAGAATGTAATTTAAGCATATTTAAATGAAATGTAAACATACCTAAATGCAAATAACACATGTGAATCATGCATCACTAAGTATAGAATCAGTCATAATGAATTATGCATCATTAAGTATAGAATCAGTCCCAAGGCAACTAAAATTAAAATATATACTCATCGCTCATTAGATCAAAGACTCAAACCCAAAAATTCCAATAAAAACACTTCAAAATATTTAGTATCTGCCTTTGATAGTCGAGGGTTGAGGGTATTTGAGGGTCATCAAGCTTCGAGAGTCGATGAGCTTCGAGGGTCAAGGGTCTTCAATGGTTGAGGGTTGAAGGTCTTCGATTGAGAACTGAGGAGCTTCGATTGAGGGTGAAAAAGAGAGAGTTTTTGACTAGCGGATGCGGGCCAGGTATGGGAAAAAGAGGATTTTTGTCTCAAAACTCAAACCAATTCACTTAGAATTAAATTTTAGAAAATAGACAACATTTAGCCTACAAAAAATCAACCTCTTTATCGCATATACACTAAAATATCAAGAAAATTTGACTAAAATGAAATGCGATAAATTTTTGCAAAAATTGCATCGGCCATGTCCTAAACCTGATATATTGGTGATAAGTCAATAAAATCGGCACATATACACACACACATATATAAATACATATATACATATATATAAAGAGAGAGAGAGAGAGAGAGAGAGAAAGCGTGAATAAACTTAAGTTGATTGAGGGCTCTATCCATTAGATTGGCTTTAGGATTCGTGTTAACATGTGATACACATTAAGACTATATTTAAGATACATCCATTGATGTGTATCACATGCCAATACAAATCTTAAAGCAAATCTAATAAATAAAAAGTCGGGCAAATGTTTCTATCCACTTTAAGTTTACAAGAGCTTTACTTTCTCTCTCTCTCACTCGCTCACTCT